GAAAGTGGAAATGATGCACAAATACATGAAACCACAGTAGTTTTATCACACAGTACCACAAACAACAAAACAATTGTTTCTGAATCTTCATGGGATCCAATTTTATTTACAATATCCTCATGCCTTTCTGAGGATAGGTCCAGTTTTCAAAAAAATTATCTACTTTATTGCCTGCCAGACAGACCTACAGCATTATAACTGATACCAGTACTAATGCATGCTATTCTCATAGCCACTAGGGGAAGAAGCATAAGATTGTTGCTCTTAAAACATTAAAGTTAAACATTAGTCTTTGCCCACAGGTAATAGTATGTGCTCAATAAATGTTTGTGGAATAAAAAAGGAATCCATTTCAGCCAGTTGACTACAAATAAATGAACCACACATTTTTCAAAGCTCTAACAAACTTAGCCTCACATAATCCTGCAAGAAATTTTATTTCAAAGAGTAAGTATTGTCAACTGAGCAAGAAACAACACAAAGAGATATTCCCTCCAAGTTATAAAACCCATGGACACTCAGGATTCCTTCCGCAACAAGGCCATTTTGCTTTTCCCATCTATCCATTCCGGACATCTATTTCTGCTTCTCAGAAATTAAGACTTACTGATTAAGACTTTAGAACTCCTCATCCATTATTCTTTCGCTCTCTTAAAATAGTTGAGTTCTAATTAATAAACTATTAAATAATTCAGATTGTCTTAGAAATGGTAATCAGGATGCTGTTAAAATATATTATTCCAAAACCAATATCACCTTGAAATTTTAACAGTTTAATAAAATCAAGTAGTAGTAATCCAAAGTAATGGCAGTAGAAATCAACATAAAATAAAAGTCAAGATAAAAATAGACTAACACTGCTAGACTTTCACTACACTAGCACTAGCTGATGATAGAGCTCTCTAACACTTCACAGGGCTCAAACTGTCAGCCATAAATGTTTTAAAGTAAAATGTAGCCTCAGAATAACATATACTAATTTCTTTTAACAGATGGCAAACTAGACTTTAAAAAAAAAAAAACACCACAAAAATCTTATTTTATGTGTAGTTGAAATGGAAGACATAGTTCCAAAGATCATCATGATAAACCTAGCATCAATAGAGAAGACAAAAACCTACCATTCTCTAGTCATGGTGCAGCTTCTATTGAGTAGTTTCAGACTCTTTAAAATATTCCATATTCTCTTCATTCTGCAAATAGTTACTAAGCAAAGACAGTGAGCCCGAGACTGCCATGCTACAGAAAGGACAACAGTCAACAAGAAGGTGAAAAAGAAATATTTTTGCCAGAAACATTTATTAACATCATCATTATTAGGGCAAAAGCAAGCAAATACCCCCAAGTCCAGAAAATACTAAAGATGTAAAAGAGTTCTGAGTAAGGTCCCTTCTTCACACCCAAACATGAACAACAGCTTTTACTCTTTCAGCTTATCAACTCCACCCAGCTCTGAAATCTGAGAAGAGCAACTCCACTATTTATTAGATCTCAACACACTATTATTTTTTTCTCCCTTTTTGGTTCTGGGGATCGAACCCAGGGCCTCATAAAAGCTACACATGAGCTCTACCACTGAGCCATATCCTCAGGCCTCAGCCCACTATTTCTTAAGCCTCGACACTACCTTTAATTCCCAGACCTTTACCCTGGAGTCCTGGGAACTTCCTTGGGTGTTAAGATGCATAATGAGACAAGACACAGTCCCAGTTGGGTAGAATGCATTTTCCAGACTGGTAACAACGGAACTGAGACTGAATTAATTAACTAGCACCTGGACCTCTGAGAAGAGAAGACACACATACACACAGTGATCACTACAACCTAAAAATTAAAATTCTCTAACAACTTATTTTTAGAATCCTTGCTAGGAAGCAGGAAAAATTAAAATGCTTGCCTTTTTTATTTCAAGGGAAAAAGAAGACAAATATTTTATTATTTCCTTTATTATTTATTTATTTATTCGTTTAATTTATTTACTTATTTTGCAGTGCTGGGGATGGAATCCAGGGCTTCGAGTACTGAACTACATACCTGCAGCCCTGAGAAGACAAATTAGTTTAAAGCAGTTTGCCAAAGACATGAGTCTTTATCAAAAACATGGGGGTGGGTGGGGATGAGAGGGCAGTTGATTCTAACCATTGATTCTAATCATTGAAGCTATGTCCCTGATCATTTTGTTGTTGTTGTTGTTTAAGAGTCAACCAAATTAACATTAAAACCACAGCCAAGGTACTCAGAGAAGGTGACAATGATCAAAAGCCCCATCTACAATGTGTCTGCCCTGTCCTACTCACAGGACAATCTGACAATCCAAGTGTGAATGGTGGGTGTCTTCTGGAGCAGTGGATTTCTATGGAGGTTTTCTACAACCGGTAGAAAGCAGGCTACAAGGGTGCCCAGGTCTTCCATCTATGTCTCTATCCAAGAGGCTCTCAGGAGAGTACCCTTCTGGAGTTTGGACTAGGTCATTTGTTCTCAAAATGTGGTCCCTGGACCAACAACATCACAATCACCTGGACACTTGTTAGAAATTAAAATAACAAAAGTCCTAACCCAAATCCACTGAATTAAACAACAACAACAACAAAAAAAAAAAAAAAACTGGAAGAGGGGTCCAACAATGTTTTAACCTTCAAGTCATTTTGGTTTATGGTCCTTTGAGAACCTCTGGTAAATCTCTATAGCCTTCTCAAGCCACCAAAATCCTACTGTGAGTAGATCAACACTCACCTAGAACTAGGGGCCCATCTGATTAAACTCATCTAATCATCCCTACCATCAACAAAACCAGCTACATTTTCATAAATTTATGTTAGCCAGCTTTTCCCAATTAAGCAGACAATGTGAAAAATATCTGATGTCATTTTAACTAAAAGTGGTGATCTCCAGATAAAATCTTGGTTCCCTTCACATTTATGATGTGAAAACTCATTCTAGCTGTCATGCAAAACAAATCTATGTTTCTGTGAGTTAAGGTGCAGGAATTGGCATCTCTTTCCCAAGACCCAGCTGCTACATTCGACTTTCTCTCTTTGCCATCCCTTCCCACCCAGAACTCACTTAAGAGTGCCACCAGGAAACCTCAACAGATGGGGCATTTGGGGGTTCCCACCCACAGGAAATATTAACTAGCCAGAAGGCATGAAGTCTCACATACAGAGAACTCTTAACATCATACAGATCTGGTTCCAAAACCTGGTTCAAGGAAAAGTCCATGTCAGCAGCTAACATGGAAAACACAACCCAAAATCCATAGCACTCAAAGCTGAAGGTGTTAAAACTACATAGATACCTCAACTTTCCTGAGGTGGTCACAGAGGAGGTGAAAAATAATCCTTTGAAATGACATAAAACTGGGATGGCTGTCAGAGGCCAAAAAAGGAAGCTGTTAAAAAACAGCAGGGGTCAAGTTTAATAGCCAGCCAGGCTCCTCAAGAAGGCTTCTTTCCCAAACTCCTCCCTCCCTCCCTCCCTGCTCCACTTCCTTAACACTCCAAGTCAGCCTGACTTTGTCATTCAAACAAACGCTCTTATCTCTTCACACCACAAAACCAGAAGCGGTTCCTCCTAGCCAAATAAACATTGTAAAGACTTTTTTTTTTAAGAAAAAAGTAGAAATGTCCCTAAATTTCTCTCAATTTTGTCCAGAAAATAACAGAGAAAACCAAAAGAGCACAGAACTATTTTTCCTGCTCCAGTACACATAAAATTGCTTTGAGAACCCAAAAAGCATTTATTTTACAGTATTCGGTAAAAACATGTTAAACTCTTCTGCTCTGCCACCCTAGACCTATACAGAATTTAGTCATGCAAGTGACTAAACCCTGCAGGAAGGTGATTAATGCACCCAGCAATCTATTCCATTTCCAAATTCCCATTTTCAAATATTTCCTGTCAGGATTATATAATTTCTTAAATTATATACCTACTAGCTTTTTTGTCAAAATCTTTCCAGTTAATAAAAATAAGAATGATAGAATCATCAAATACCTTGTTTTTTACAAATTCTTCAGAGTACTTGTCACATCTTCAGAATTTTCAACAATTTGGATTGAATTAAGTAACCAAATTTACTCAAATGCAAGAACGAATCCTTGCAATAACATCAATTTGGACAGTTTCTCTCAGTTTCTACAATTGCTTTCTAGTTGTGTTTGATTATCAACCTAAGTGGGATCAGTGGGGGAAAAGGGGGGGGGGGCAGGCCTACGTATCACAATCAAAATAAATAGTTCCTCCTCCACAAAGGAATACTGAAATGCCTCCCAGGCAAACCAACAACAAAAAAATCAAAACCACACATTTTAAGGCAAGATATGTTAATATAGCTTTAAAGAAACCTATAGCCTCTAATTTCTTTTGGCTTTGTTAGGGGAATAAATCCCTTTTGTTTGAAGACTCAGGACACTTCAACTATACTTAAAACCTAAGATGTATCAAGTACTCTAAAATACATAGACACTTTCTTTTATTCTGTAGAGGCTATTTTACAGATTAAAGACCTCCTTAAGAAAAATAAAAATTAAAAATAAAAAAGCTTACACTGCCTCCTACTGTCAGAAGGAAGAATTTATGAGGTCAAATATGGTCCACACACAGCACAGTGCAATAAGATCAAGGGAACAGATCTGTTTCCAAATGAAATTGCTGAAATACTGTCTATGACAGGTTCAGATACAGTGCAAAACACACCACATGGCATGATGTCAGCATGAGAAATCATCCCCAAACGGGCTTTCAACTTGATGCACAACATAAACACAACAGGATGAAGGACCCAAAGTGCCACCCTACTTGGCTGAGGGTGAAGTTCTCAGCTCTAAGTCAGCATTAGCAGTTGGTGCCCCTCCCACCTCTCACCCCACTACCCAGAGCAAGCCAATGGCTCCATCTCAGAATACAACCAAGATGCCTCCTCATCTTTTAGTCAGCAGGTATGGCCAGGGCTTCCTAGGCCTGAGGACTTTCTCCACATTTAAGAAGTTGGAAGGAATGTCACACCCAACTTGTCACAGAGATACATCTGTTTATCTTCAAAATTTGACAGCTCTGCTTCCTGCCCCTGCCTACCTCAGCCATGATACTGCATTACCACTGATGCTGTACATCACAGAATATGAAACACAGAAACACAAACAATACTTTTGGGCTTGTTTCTTTAAAAATGACATTTGTATTAAAAGTCTTAAAATGAAGAGACAATGATTAAACGAGTGGAATTAAAATTACAATTAGAACTTGATACATCATAACAGAGAAATTTTGCTCTTGCTTCTGAAGGTACACCCTATAACAGAAGATCAAAACATTTTAAAAATAATATGTAAGGGGAGCTAAACACCTGAAATTTGAACAAAATGAAGCAAAAAAAAAAGGGGGGGGAGGGGACAACCCATTGCAAGACATGGACATTACATTTTAAAGGCTGAAAATAATAAATTCACTGAACAACACGCCCTATTGTCCTGGCTCCTTCAGGAAGATTACTGAAAGGAAATTGGTAAGTGGTTTGGGGAATAGCAGATTCTGGTACTGGTGGGAAGTTCACCGGTTGGCAGCGGCTGAACAGCTGAGTTTTGAAGGCACTCTGCAGACACAGGGGTGCTGGGGGCCCTGAATCACATTTACAAAGTCTTTGTATTATATTTTTAAAAGCTAGTCATTAAAATCTGTTGCTGCCAACCAAAAGAAATTTTTTTCTTTAAAAAAAGCTAAACTTAAAACACACACACACCATAGTACACACAAAAATGTGCAGGATCTGTAACATTTTTTTTTTTCACAGCTGATAAAAAAAAATACTACCATTCTCCCAAGGCTCCCCTTTGATACAGTAGGTAAACAAAATAGATTTTTTTTTTCCACAAATATCAGCAGACACTTTCTGGCACCCCACACTGTATTGGCATCAGTGTTAACAGTCCCAGTTCAGATGTGCAATACTTCAGATTGGATACAATGTAACAAGAATCCAACTTTGCATAGACATCCTCAGAATCACAACCAGTCACGAGGGGTTGCCCTTCCAAGCTGGCAGGAAAGGAACCCGATCTAAATTTCCAGCTACTCCTGGAAAATAAGGAAAAAACAAGAGTTTCTTCCTCTCCTTCTGCTCCTTCATATGGGTTTCCCGGACTGGACTGGACTTCCATGTATTTAAAACTCGGAACTAGAAAACAGTCATTAACAAAAGAGAGAGAGAGAGAGGGACAGAGGGAGAGAAAGAGAGAAGACCCCCCCCCTTCCACCTTCTTCCCCTCCACCTCCCCACCTCCATTTATTTCCAGGCTGAAACTTTTGCTTGCCGGGTGTCGAGCTGCCAATACAGCACCCTAACGGCCACTTAAACGGGGGAATATGCGTCAACCGAAATCAATGAGAAACGTACATGCTGCAAAGAGCCACATTTCCACCAGGGTCTCGGATGGTCAGGACGGGGCACCCCTCGGATACGGGGCGAAGGCAAGGGATGCGGGCCCCGGAAGCCAGCCGGGCTCCCGGGACACCCCGGCCAATGCAAAGTCGTCTCCAATCTCAAAGCAAGAAAGGAAATCACATTTAGAGAGTCGGATGCGTTTGGCTTTTGTGCGCAGAGCGAGGCCGGCGCCCGGCGGCCGCGGGCGCCTCAGAGGATCACGCAGGCCGAGCAGCAGCCCTCGTCGCCGTTGGGCTGAGCCGCGTAGTTCATCTGCCGCACGATCTCGGCGAAGAGCTCATCCACCGAGGCTTTGTTTTTGGCCGATGTCTCCATGAACGGGCAGCTCCACTCCTCGGCCAGGGCCTTGCCCTCGCCGTAAGAGACCTCGCGTTCGCCCTCCAGGTCCACCTTGTTGCCCACCAGGATCATGGGCACGCGCTCGTACCGCTTCACGCGGATGATCTGGTCCCGCATGGGCTTTATGTCCTGGAAGCTCTGCTGGTTCACCAGGCTGTAGACTAGGATGAAGCCCTGGCCGTTCTTGATGTACAGGTCCCGCATGGACGCGAACTGCTCGGTGCCCGCCGTGTCCAGGATCTCCAGCACCGACGGCGACGAGTCCACTTCGATCTCCTTGCGGTAGAAGTCCTCGATGGTCGGGTCGTACTTCTCGATGAAGGAGCCTGTCACGAACTGCACGGTGAGCGCGGACTTGCCCACGCCGCCCGAGCCCAGCACCACCACTTTGTACTCTCTCATGGCTCCGTCCGCGCTCGCACCACGCCTGCCACGGCCCCGTCGGGGCTGCGCGCCGCTGAAGGCTGGGCTTGGCGACTAGACTTCTCCCCTTCCTCAGCTCCGCAGCAAAAACCCACGCGAGCGCGGCCCGGAGCGTAGGGCGTGGAGATC